GCATGCTGCATGGGCAACAGGTTGCTCCTCACATTCTTTCGCCTAGGCATTGACTCTACATGTACGGGGGCGGGTAGAGACAATAATGTCATAGTCTACTGATGGGGGCCTTACATATACATACATATATATATATATATATATATATATATATATATATATATATATATATATATATATATATATATATATGAATATACATATACATATATATATATATATATATATATATATATATATATATATATATATATATATATATGAATATACATATACATATATATATATATATATATATATATATATATTTTTTTTTTTTTTTTTTTTTTTTTTTTGGGGGGGGGGGGCAATGAATGATCAATGAATCGACTAATTGATAGGGTTTGAGCCACGTGTCACGGAACGCCTTCCAGGGGGTTTTCGTCAAGGAACTATTTCGTAACTGCCCTGGAAGCGTGTCAAGGGGAGGTTATCTTGCTGGAAGATGATTGTTTCAGGGAAGGGCTAAGGCACTGGCGTACTAATGGGAGGTACATTTTTTTCGGACAGTCTGATATATTCGTTGAAACTGCATTCCCCGTTTCAGCGAGTTCACCATCATGCAGGATGATCCGCCCCCACATGCTACAGGTCGTGTGCCATTTATACATATTTTGTTTGTCATATATGAAAAGTAAATGATGGAAAAACAAACATAACAACGTATAGGGTACTATTGTGTATAGACATATATCTATATCACAATTTGCCCTGAAATCATATATGAACAAATTGACAAGGCTAATAATATTTACACCCTTTATCTGTTCTTATATACGCTTCCCCAATAATCGAGATCTTTCTCCACATACTGCAGGGCAAAGTGGAGGCGATGTTGGCGATGCCGCGTGCTCAGCCCCTCTCTGATGACGTTCTGTGATGTATCTCATCACCATGTACTCGTTCTCTTCGACTTGGTACCGGGAGCTGTAGGTCTTCATGAATTTTAACTGCATAATTGAAGGGGCATCCTAGCCTTCGGTGGCCTTTCGCGGAACCCGGGAATGAGGGCGGACGTTTCGGCTGGCCTCCTTCCACCTTTTCCACCTATATACCATTGTCCGGGAGATACCTAGCTCTCTGGATACTTCACCGGGAGAGAAATTCCTTTCCCTCACCCCGACGATGCGGCCTCTATTTGCAATTTAGCTTGCCTTGCGCCCATCCTGAAAGAAGTGTCAGCTGGACAGCCTCGTTTTCACCTAGGATTTCCCATACGTCATTATGACATATATCACGATTAGTTAAGAAATAGATATTCAAGTATTTGTGAATATTCATGAGCACAAAGAATATCAAATATACAATTTTTATTGCTTTTATTTTCTAGATAACTTTTCACTCCAGGAAATTGTTATTTCTATCATGAACATATCCAAATAATGAATCAAACTTTGATTTTACAGTGAAGGTTTTTTACGTTAATTTCATCTAGGCACATACTGTAAATAGACGTGCACTGACAAATAGAAATCCCATTTCATCGGAATGAACAGTATATGGGAGTCGGCTCTTACACCTTGAACCATCCAGCTAGATGCACGCATGTAACCATGATCTAATTTTAACAAGATAAAGGGCATAATAGATATGAATTAAACATACAGTTCCGTAACTCATCACCAAGTGTTGATTCTGCATTTCCATTGACACACACACACACACACACACACACACACACACACACACACACACACACACACACACACACACACACACACACACACACACACACATACACACACACACACACACATACACACACATACACACACACACGCACACACACACGCAAGCACGCACGCACAAACACACATACACACACACACCATATATTTACTATAGCCCTACTATAGTTTTGTGTCCAGTTAATGTTCTATAATGAAGAATATAACGCAGCATATTTTCTGATTATTGAATCAGTGATTGGTTCTGGCGAAGAGAAGAAAATTAGGCTCTACGAGTAGCATTTACAGTATCTCGGTTTTGAAGAGATTTTTAGTTGATTAAGCTGGCATGCATAGATATTCAAACTGCATTTTTTTTCATTTTTCTAGAAACATGCAGCTATAATTGACTGTTGTGTTGAAAGAAGGGGGAAATGCTGCCTCACCTCCATGAATGTTGCCATTTCGATAAACAAACAATTCCAGGAAATCGTATTTGAAAAATATCCCATAGTACAATAAACTATATATAAAAAATAATAATAATAATATCCTTATTCGCTATTCATATTCTACCAATCACGTTCTTTTGTTAAAACAACCTAGGGTTTTCGCCTCATTCATAAAAAAAAGACACTATATACTCTATGTTGTCGTTGCCAGATTTACAAAAATGGGACCTAAAATATAATTCCGGAATTGTACATGTATATCTATACATACGTACACACACCTTGTACGTGTTTATTGTATGAGTATGAAAGAAAATGCAAACGCAAGTGTGTGTGTGTGTGTGTGTGTGTGTGTATCTATGTGAGTACATGGGTAAAAGAGAGAGTAAGAGAGAGAGAGAGAGAGAGAAGAGAGGGGGGGGGAGAGAGAGAGAGAGAGAGAAGAGAGAGAGAGAGAGAGAGAGAGAGAGAGAGAGAGAGAGAGAGAGAGAGAGAGAGAGAGAGAGAGAGAGAAGAGAGCGGGGGGGGGAGGGAGAGAGGAAGAGAGAGAGAGAAATATCATGAAACCATTTAAAAGTTTATCGAAAATTCGCGAGGCAATTCTTCATGAAAAAATGCAGTATGCAGTGTGCTGTTTCTATTGTATTTGCAGTATATCTATTTTCATATCACATTTTTCGGGCGTGCGCTCGACCGTTCTTTTATAGACTCCCGTGCATATTCCCTTGTTTATAACCGTATTATTTACTGTTACTTTTTTCGATTTCATATTTTACTAAACCGCCTTTCCGTTTTCTTCTTCTCTTTGTTTGTTTTCTTCTCTTATTAAACCGTTTTTTTCCTTCTCTCTTACTGAACAACCTTTCCGTTTTTTTTTTTTTTTGGTTGTTTTTTTTACTGTTACTAAACAGTGTTTCTTTCGTCTCCCCTTTCCTCTCTTACTAAATAGCCTGTCCGTTTTTATCTTTCTTTTTTTTCGTTTCTTTTCTCTCATACTAAACCGCCTTCCCGTTTTCTTTTCTCTCGTCCTCCCTTTTTATCACCGTCTTTCTTTTTTTTTTCTTTTCCTTTCGTACTAAACAACATTTCCTTTTTTTGTTTTGTTTTTTTCTTTTCTTCTTTCTTAATAGTACAAATAAGAAGTAAGAAAATGTTCCGCGTTGCAAACAAGACTCTGAGAAATTTACTGCGAACTGATTAACGTGTGGCTTCACCGCGAATTAGATCAGGGAGGAGATTTCTCTTCCACGCTCGAGCCCGCGGGTTTTGTTGGAAGGACAAGAAAGGAAAAGGGAGAGGGAGGAAGGGAGGAGGATGGAGGGTGGGAAAGGGAGGAGGAGGGAGGAAGGGAGGAGGATGGAGGGTGGGAGAGGGAGGAAGGGAGGAGGGGGAGGAGAGGAGGAGGAAGGGAGGATGGAGGGTGGGAGAGGGAGGAAGGGAGGAGGATGGAGGGTGGGAAAGGAGGAAGGGAGGAGGATGGAAGGAGGGAGGGGAGGAGGAAGAGAAATAGTAAGAAAGAGAGAGAGAGAAATAGAAGATATAAAGGCAAATAGAAGATATAAATTTAGGAATAAAGTAAAGAGCAACTCACACACACACACACACACACACACACACACACACACACACACACACACACACACACTCACACTGCCCTACAATATATATTGCAACACACAAGACATGTATGGAACACAATATGCTGGAAAATAAAATAACGAAATATTCCATCCCTCGGAACTACCCTGTGTCCAAGTCCATGTCATTCATTAAATCTCTCTCTCTCTCTCTCTCTCTCTCTCTCTCTCTCTCTCTCTCTCTCTCTCTCTCTCTCTCTCTCTCTTTTATTTTTTTAGATTATTGTGTACTTCAGGATTGTGTTCTTTATTTTACTGTGGCCCCCCAAAATGTTTACAGTGTTATATAGGCTAATATCCATACGCGTTTTATCAAATACACCGTACATCATTTGGGAAGTTGGGCTGTTCACTGCAACATAACAAACCTTTACGTTTAAAGTTTGTTCTTAAGGGGAAAATGGTTTACAGAAGGCGGTATTGATATTGAGCTATTCCTTAGCCTGGGTTATTTCGATTTTGTTTAGATTAAGAGAAAAAGAAAGGTAGGGATGGGGAGGGAGAGGGAGAGGGAAAGGGGGAGGGAGAGGGGGAGGGAGGAAGAGAGAGAGAGAGAGAGAGAGAGAGAGAGAGAGAGAGAGAGAGAGAGAGAGAGAGAGAGAGAGAGAGAGAGAGAGAGAGAGAGAGAGAGAGAGAGAGAAAGAGGAAAAAAAGAGAGGGTGAATTATAATTACACCATTATCTATCAAGAAGCTTTATCATTTTTTCTTCTCATGCAGTCTTCTTTTTAATAAAAACAATATGAAAGTTTATTAATTAAAAACTTCACTCCCGAGCGAAGAAAGTTATACCAGTACATGTTCTAGTGCAAGAATAGTTTCACACAGACCAGCGTGGAACAAAGAAAGTAAGTATAAAATGACTCCTTTTGCATTTTGATTAATAGTGGTATTATGCGTTACTGTCTCCTTTCTGGTGCTCTGTCTACGTATTTTAAATAAACTGATTGGATATTATAACTTTCAATTATTGTTTGGTTGCTAATGAAGTGTCATTTCCAAAGCATTCTTAATGTAATCATTTCCTTTTATTAACCGTATGGACTTGAAAACATGGATAAGGCCATTAATGTCAGTCTATCTTATTATTTAATAAATTCAATAATATCTGTATCTTTTTTTTTTACCTTGCAGAGTTTGCATAGCTTGTGTGGAGTGATATCAATAATCCACTTGAATAATGTCAAAACACTTACTGTAAATGCAGGGAGCCGTACGGATTATTTGTATATAATAATCATTACTCTCACTAATTACAGACACGGAATGCTCATGAAGTAAATTGCGTTTCCAAATTATCTATTGTCGATACTGATAATACCCACGACATTATTTAGACCTTCCCCATACCAATATCTAATTTAGAATGAGTGGGGAAAGGGATCCCATATCGAGGGGTATTAAGTCAGATACAGGTATTATTTTTCAATAAGGATGCATATGATATTACGAAATGTTATTTACAATGTTATTTACTGTTCCTGCAACTATTCAGAAGGCTGAACAAGCTGATGTCCTTATGTATATCAGTGTGGAAGCAGGAGAGAGAGAGGGAGCAAAAGAGAGAGAGAGAGAGAGAGAGGGGGGGGGGGGGGATGAATGAGTGAGTGAGAGGGTAAGTGAGTGAGTGTGAGAGAGGGGTGGGGGTGACAGAGAGAGGGAGAGCGAGGGGGGGAGGGATGAATGAGTGAGTGCGAGGGTGAGTGAGTGAGTGAGTGAGAGAGTGTGAGAGAGAGGTGGGAGTGACAGAGAGAGAGAGAGAGAGAGAGAGAGAGAGAGAGAGAGAGAGAGGGGGGGGGGGGGGTTAATGAGTGAGTGAGAGGGTGAGTGAGTGAGTGAGAGAGTGTGAAACAGGAGAGAGAGAGGGGGGGGGGAGAGTAATCAACTGCGTACTGCAGATCATGGAATTAACAAAGGGACTTATTTTACATCATTATCAGTAATCTAACATGCGCCAATGGGTATTTTTCCAGCAATATCATTACTTGGGTGCAGTAACTTTTTGCTCATAGAAAGCCTCTGGTGCGACAGACTGACATTAACAACTGAGAGGACAATCTGCTCATCTGATTTAATGCTGTCAAGATTATGCCAAGGTCGTCCATTTTTTGACACTAAGATCAGCTGGAACAAAGAGGATCGTTAGTGTCATTAGTAACTGGAAAAAAAAGTCAATTGACAGGCAACCAAAAAACGGATTTTCCGGTTCTAATTAATTTACCAGAAAGGTGATTACCTATATCTCTCTCTCTCCCTCTCTTTATATATATATATATATATATATATATATATATATATATATATATATATATATATATATATATATATATATTTATATATATATATATATATATATATATATATATGTGTGTGTGTGTGTGTGTGTGTGTGTGTGTGTGTGTGTGTGTGTGTGTGTGTGTGTGTGTGTGTGTGTGTATATATATATATAGATAGATAGATAGATAGATATCTTTTATCATCAGTGTTTTTATTCTAAATCAATTTCAGTGTTTACAAGAGAACTCACATTCTTCTAACTTTTTTTTATATGTTGTAATTATGTATACTCAATTCTGTAATAATCGGCCATCTTAACGGACACAATAGTAACACAAATGTACAACGAGTACTATGACAAGCAAGGCATGGACTTGGAAAACAAAGACGCTGAAAAGCATTAATTAGTTTGAAAGACGATTTCATATAAAATACGTCAGTGAAACGTTTGATAACTAACCGTTACCAAGATTGATTTCCTGCTGTTGTTGTAAGTAGGTGTGATTTGATATAAGCTCAACTTCACATCTTAGTGTTATTATTGGCTTATTAGTGTTACAAATGCGTATTCTTTATGGTGTATAATTCTTATTATTTGTTATCTGTCATTTAAAGTGTTCAATCTGGTTTATTTAGTTGCTATGATTTATTTAAGGATGTGAAAGGAATTTATATTTCGGACTGAAAATCATAACCTCACAATTATATTGAAAATAATATCTTTATAATACTTATAGTTTCTAGAAATACCAAGCTTCCTTTTAGAAGTTATACTCATACCAGTGACATTCAAGACCTGAAATTATCTGTAAGATAATAGTGCACAACTCTATCAGTTCCATAAGGTAAAAATGGTGCATACAAGTATGTAAATCTGGGCTCTATGGCAGACTAATACAGTGCTTTATTTGCTAGCTTTACAGGCTTGTTATATTACATCTAGGATAGAGAATGATTTTCTTAAACGAATGCCACCGTTGTTTGTACTCAGGATACGTTTGGTTACGTAAAAGTCCGGCTTATCGTTAAATTTACTTCTCTGCTCCAGAGATGTAGTATTTCTTTCTATATATATATATATATATATATATATATATAT